GAAAGTAGTCTACAGGTTTGTAAGGGAATCTACAGCGTGAAAGAGAAAAATGATAAGCCACAAAAAAAAAAGCAGATGTCAAAAATTAATACAGGATCTTAGAATCAAGAAAAGAAATCTAAAACAGCAGATCTGTTTCACAAGTTTTGACGAGGAGGAGGGCTCTGGCAGGACCTTAAAGATAAACACAATGCTCTTAGCAGAGCAGAAAATCTAAGGAAGAGACAAGTGAAACAAAGGAAAGACCAAGAGCATTTCATCCAGGGACCTTACAAATATGCAAAGGACATATTTGATCAACCAAGATCAGATGTGCTTAAAATAGAGAAAAATATTATGGAGGAACATTTATGAGATGTACTATGATCCCAAATGACATATTCCTCTAGGTCATAATAGCAACTTATTTTGGCCAGCTGTCTCTAAAGTGAAGTTTGATGTGGAACCACCCACATGTGAGGAAGTAAGATGCATAGCAAAAGTAGAAATAAGTCTACACCTGGCCCTAATAGAATACCTTTCTTTCTACATAAAAAATGTTTTACTCTTTTTAAATGGTTACATACTAACTTAGTTGGCATGGAAAAACTACCATATCAGCTGAGAGTGGATGATAGCTGATGGGAGTTTACATACCCAAAGAAAAGAATTCCAAGAACATCAGCCAATTTCATCAGATTTCCCTCCTCAATGTAGAAGGAAAGATATTTTTTGCAGTTTTGGCATCGAGATAGACCAAATACCTTTTTGATAATGAGTACATAGATACTTCAGTGCAGAAGTGTGTTCCAGGAATGGCTGGTTGCTTAGATCAAGGAAACCTAATCTGGGAGGACATTCAAAAAGCATAAGTTAATTGGAAGATTTGGATGTCATTTGGTTGGATTTGGCTAATGTCTATGTACCCCACCAAATGATATGATTATCATCACAAATGTACCATATTCCAGAGAAAACATCCTTATTTTGATGGTTTTCTCATACGTTTCACTATCAAAAGACTATATGACTAAGTGGAATAGACTTGAAGTTGGAATTGTGATGGGATGTACAGTGTTACCCATACTTTTCATTCTAGCCATGCAGCTGATTCCCAAAACAACAGAAAATAAGGCTGATATTGTTGAGCTTGGTGGAGGTTGTCAAATGCCTACAGTGATGGTGTTCATGGATGACACTACAATACTCTCATCCAAAGAAAGTTTAACTTGCAAGCTATTAAGCTTGATGGACAACCTGATAATTTGGTGTAGAATGAAATTAAACTAAACAAATCCCAAAGTCTTTCTCTTAGAAAAGGAAAATTGAACCAAAACATAAATTTTGAAGTAGGTGGTCAAAGAATTCCTACCGTATTAGAAAAATCAGTGAAAAGTTTAGGACGGTGGTATGATCCATCCTTAAAAATCCCAACCAAGTGAAAGAAACAGCCAGATCATTACAAGAAGGTCTGCATAAGATAGATCTTTGTCCTCTAAAAGGAAAATACAAGGGATGGTGCTTACAGTATATATTCATTCCAATGCTATTATGGCACTTACTTGTATACAAATCTGGAACGAATTCAGCTGAGACAATGGAAAGAAAAAATAAATATACCCCAAAATGGTTGGGTTTACCTCGAGGTTTGTCTGATATTGCATTGTACTGCAGACAAGCAAAGCTAAAGTTGCCATATAAATCAATTGTGGAGGAATACAAATCTGAGAAAATCAGACTTCAGATGATGTTGGATGACTCCAAGGATAAAGTAGTAAAAGCATTAAATCCTACATTAAAGATGGGGAGAAAGTAGAATGTCAGTGCTAAAAACAATCTAGCTTTCAATGAAGTCATCAGATACAGAGAAACAAGGGTTGGGACTAAATGAAAGGCAGTGGTGGTTGAAAACATCTGGTAAAGATCACTGAAACATAGTCATTCAAAATGTAAGAAACGAAGAAGATAAGACTTGTAAAAGAAGTACAACAATCCCAACAAGGCCAATGGACAAATTGGAAGGAAGCTCTGCAAAAATCTATTACTTGGAAGGACATTTGGCAGATGGCTTCACTCAGGTTGAGTTTTTTTTAATATGTTCCACATATGACCTACTATCATCTAAAAACAATCTTGTTAAATGGAAGAAAGAAAGTGATCCAACCTGTCCCCTGTGTAAGGAAAATCTACAAACATTAGAACATGTTCTTAGATCCTGTAAAACAACATTTGTCAATAGAAGATATACCTAGGTACACAATAGTATTTTGGATGAGCTGATCAGAATTATAAAGAACTATATGAAGTCTGAGTCATCTAATTCAAACAAGGAATTTGTTGCAGAGGGAAAAATATACATCAGCTCAAGCAAATATTTAGCTATACCCAGACAAAATCTCCTTAGTTCTTGTGACATTTAGGAGATATCTGCAGACCTTCCCGGTTGGCATAATGATTACCCCAAAATAATATCAAGTAAGGGTCTGTGACCAAATATTGCTCTTCTATCAAGGAGGAACTATAAAATCATCCTGGTAGAATTAACACTACCATATGAAAGCCACAAAGGTTAAAATGAAATGTTTACATCATCTTTAAAAAAAAAAAAAAAAAAAAAACTTTCTGGAATGGGGAGTTTTAAATTCCAGCAAAAAATGAATGGCTAGTCTTGGTCCATAGATAGCTCATTTTAACCACTACTACAATAACTATCACAGGGAGTAGAGATGTGTGGTTTAACCGAAAAAACAACTTTTTTTGGTTTCATCTTCACAACATGAAACTGCATCAAAATTTTTTTATGAAACTGAATGATTTCAGTTTTGTTTTTTTTATCACTACTGAGTGGCCATACCCAAAGAAACACTATTGAAAAAGACTTTCAGATGTTAATAAAATTAAATTTAATCAAAATTTATAGCCTTGTAAGAGAAAAAGATTGAACAAAAATGTTAAAAACATTGACTAGTTTTAGGAAATAAATGTGAAATCTATTTGTTTACAAAAGAAATGAAGAAGAAAAAACAGAAAATACAACATGATGTCTGAAATCTATTTGTTTCAGTTTTGACAAAAAAAAAAAAAAAAAAAAAAAAAAAATCAGTTGCCAGTTTTGTCTTAATGTCAAATTTTATGAAGTCAGATTTTTTGTAATGGCTTATTTTCTAGTAAGCCAGTGTTATGCCATCACAGAATAAAATTAAGAAAATTCTAGAAAATGCAAAGTGTGGCTATGCACAAGCAGTTCAGGCCAAAGTTGAAAATAAATAAGTTGGATTCTGGGAGTTCTAAAAGATATCCAACCAAAGTCTGAATAGAGGCAAAGTGTTAGTGCCCACTATTATAAATGGATGCGATCTCATCACCGTTAAATAAGGCAAAGTTATTCACTTTGATCTTACCCTCTAACTCAATGTTAGATGACAGAGATCACCCACTTCCTGACAACACCCTCACCCCATCTACAACCCAGAAAGTCTTAAAGCTTAATAAAAGTCTTGACCTTAAGAAAGCCACTGGCGCAGACAAAATCCCAGTGGTTGGCCTTAAGAATATTAACTTAGAATTATTCCCAAGCTTAGTGGAATTATTTAACTGATACTTGAAGGAGAAATCCTTCCCAAGTTTGTGAAAGGTGTCACATGTATGCCCCGTTTTCAAGAAAGTGGGTGAGCTGTCATTCACACCTCAGTAAAGATCCACCCTACTCCTCAGCGCCATTAGGAACTTTTTTGAAGCTGTAATCAACAAGAAGGTAGTTGATCTAAATAGGAACAAACTCTTCATCAACAAGTGATCCACTGTTGATGTCCTGTCATTACTCACAGAATCAGTGAGGCATAAGACAACAAATACATCGCAAAAACAATCACATTAGATATTTCAAAGATCTTTGACAAGGTGTAGGAAATGCTGAAATTGAAATCTACTTTTGTTTTTGTGGGTGTTGGGTTTGCATCTTCTATTTGTTTTTGTTGTGGACATGGTTAGATATAGAGATTTTGGAACAGGTAAAGACTAGGTAGTGAAGCAGCCACACTCTCAAGTAGTACATGCATCAATTAACCTTGCAAGAGCAATTCCTTCTAATACCCATAAGTCAACCATAAAGGTTGACTTATGGGTATTAAGAACTGTTTAGCTGGTAAAAGTTAATAAAATAAATGATACATTTATTTCTATAAAAAGTAATTTTTATTTTTTTTAGAGAGTGTTTGTTACATTTAAACATAAACTTTCTTTTAACATGTTTCCAAGTTTATTTTGTTTCTCTGTGTAAATGCTTGCAAAAGGACATATTCTAAGCAGAGATTAAAGTCAAGGTTCTGCGATATTGTGGACACGCACATAGAAAGAGAAGAAATAGTTTTATCTCAATCTTAAGTATTTCTATTTGGTAAACCAGCAGATGGTTCATTTTGAAGTTCAGTTTTGTAAGTAGCATTCATTTTAACTAAAGTAAAAGAATATTGGGAGATCAAGTGGCAACAAGACAAGAAATATTATATACCTGGGTGCTGGTCTATATTAAGAATGATGCTTGGGATCAGAGAGAGTTCTGATCTGCTTTTAAAGTGAGATGGACAGGTCCGCCATGCAGTTCGAAGCCTCCATTTTATATTGCCAGCCACCATGTTGAGATGAAAAGATGAGCAAGGAATTGATAGGTAGAAGAGCTGACATAACGGAAGTATCACCTGCCTAGCCAACCAAACAAGCAGGCAAATGCCTGAATAAAATACCTAAATATAATATGGGAAACAGGGTTCACATTCTTATTTCTCAATGTGGCATTTTTCTTTCATTGTGTTAGCTTGTGAGTATGCTTAAGCTCTTCTCCAGTCTTTAGTGTACATTGACGAGACTGAGAATCAGAATTCAACATGGAGTAATAGTTGGCAAGTCTGTGTAAAGCTTGGGTGAGGGTAGTGTTCTATTTTCACAATATCACATTTCAAATTTGGTCAGCTTTCAGCAAAGCATCAAAGCAGAAATTGATAATTTTAAATTTTCATACTCACTTCATCATACTTTTCGAAAATGGTTATGAGAAATTCATATCCTTGAGGTGTGAGCTCTGTTGTACAGCCAACAGGTACTGGAATTCTGTAAGTGACAAAAAAAAGAAAAGAAAAAAAAAAATTGATACACATACACAATATTAAGATATAATTCCAATGAAAATTGGGTGTTAAATTTTTCTAGTACATCTGTTGCTCTTAATTATTTTAATTGACAGTCTACATTACTATATAACAAATTACATAATAATACGTTATAAATATTGTACAGTACTGAATATATACATTTTACTACTTTTACTTTAGTAATATTTCTATAAGAGTTTTAAAAGTATATATTTTTGTGTGTTAAATAGTCATAGCAATATTTAAAATTAAATCAAATATGTTTGTTTTTACAGCTATTTAGCTGAAAATAGACACTGCATTTTATAATTTTTGTCAATTTCAATTATTTTTATCTTTTTGAATTCTCAGTAGCTATCACATATTCAGATTTTTTCCAAATCCTCCTTTGCTGTCTCACTAATAACACAGATGATATTATTGTTCTAGTAACTGAAAGTAAAAATAAAAGCAAAAAAAAAATATTCTACTTACAATAATGCACTTTTTGTGATATTCCTTTAAGAGCAAACTTGGTGTATGTTGCTGCAAGTAGACAGCAAGCTTTTAAGTTTGCTGTCTACTCTGCTGGCAGGTGGTGAACAAAAGTAAGTCTACTCAACCAATGAAAAATTGTTTATCTAACAAATTGTTCACCCACATATGATAATAATAAATAAATGCAGTACAAACCAACTAGCTGAATTTTGATTTGAAATTATCACTGTATAATATGTGATTAATGGAGAAGCAATGAATTATGATGTTGAAAAATAAATTCTTATTTTTCATTAGCCTGCAGATTTATTGAGATAAAAAGATACATATTAAAGCAAGCAAGAAATATGTACAAAGTATGAAAAGAATAAAAAGAAATTGCAAAAACTGAATATGAGTTCATATTGATTACTTCAGTTATAGAACATTTTATATACAGTCCTATGTACAAGATGGTAATGCTCATATGTTACTTACTTCGGAGATAAGAATTCTTTTGTAAGCATCAGGTTATCATCATAACCAAATGTCCTTAAAACTGTCCATGTGGTTTCATGTCGACCTCGCTGAATGAAAAGTGTATGAAGAAACAGGAACCCTGCAAAGAGAAAAAGCACACATTATGTCAATAACTGCTGTATTTCTTCATGGTAAAAACAAATCTTGTTAATACAAGATTTGTTTTTGCATTCTGAATTCTGAGGTGAAAATATAAAATTATAGCCTTTATTGGCATGACAAAATTTTAAATTTGGTGGTTTATTTTTTTTTTTAATTTAATCATTTTAATTTATTTTAGTTATTTTTACTGCACATGCTTTAATACAAGGTATAGTGGTTTCTTTAATTTTTGAATTATTTAAAATATCCATCCCAATATCACTTTCATCAAACATTCTGCCTTCAAAATTAAAATTGCCACCTTTATCACAGAATGGATCCTTTCTGGAGTTATTTTACTCCAGAAATTCCAGCAAAAATCAAACAGCCAGCCCTGGTTCAGACATAGTGCACCATAACCACTACTTACAATATCTATCACAGGGAACTGTATAGTGGGGTACTTGATGCATTCAGAATTTTCTACAATCTTTGCAAGAGAATTCTAGTAAATGCTAAGTGTAGCTATGCACGAGTAGTCCAGACCAAGGTTGAAAGCAATTTGGATCCCAGATGTTCTGGAAAATCTCCAACCAAATTCTCAATAGAGGTAATCTATACATATATAAAGGGCAGTTGTGTGCGTGTGTATGTGTGTCCAGCTAAAAGTAAAAAAACTACAAAGTAAATATGTATACAGATTCATTATCACCCAAGCCAGCTTTTTGTAAAAAAAATTTCATCATAGTATTTGCATTTATGAAGATATTTTAAAATTAAAATGTATTAGAATGCATTAAAAATTCTCAGAATTAAAAAGTAAAAATGAATGGTAAGAATTCTTATTCTCAAATTGGATTACTATTTCTTTTTACTTTTTTTTTTTATTCTGCTAAATGCTGTCCAAGTATGTATTTTTAAAATTTCTATTCTCTTGAATTAATTTTCACATCTATAGTTAATAAAAGCATAACTTTAAAAAAAATGAATATTAAAACAACAAAGTAAATTTAAAAGAATATTAATTACAATTATTTGACAAAAAGTTTAATATTTTTACAAGTTTTAGAGTGTGTATGTCCAACTAAAACATCTAAATGAAGTAAATAAATTAAATCAAGATATATTTAAACATATTTAATTTAATCATTTTTTTAAAGCAAAAACTATAACAAGCCTTACTTCTTTGAAAAATAATTATTTACTATTTATTTTGGAGAGGATTATTATTAATAAAAAAGTAAATAAACATAAATTATGAATTTTAGACATATTTAAACTTGAATTTATTTTCACATCTGTAGTAAATAAAAGCATAACTTTAAAAAAAATGAATATTAAAACAACAAAGTAAATTTAAAAGAAGAATATTAAATACAATTATTTGAAAAAAGTTTAATATTTACTTATTCAAATATTCGTGTGTGTGTGTATGTGTGTGTGTGTGTCTGGCTACAAAATAAATATACAGGCAACAGACAAAATCTGCAAGTAAAATAAATAATCTGCAGGCAAAAATAAATTCCAAATTGTCAGTGATGTATTTAAAAAATTGTGGACTTAGCAGAACAAGTCGTATTAGCTTTCAAATTGAGAAAGTAGCTGTAAGGAATGTTATCTTTGTTATTTTGCTTAATATATCTATATTAAGTATATATTTATTTATGCCATATATACATGTTTATAGTATTTATATTATGATCATAACTACTGGTAGTTACTATCGTGATTTAATAACTCAAAAATAATTCATTCCCATCTACAGACAATCGGCTTTAATGGACCCCTATTAGTCTGTTGATGAGAAGTTTGTATATACAGACTCAGTATCACCCTAAAGAGCAGTTGTTGTGTGTATTATTGACTTATTAATATTTTTCAGCCATCTTATAGAAAATATTTTTTTATTCAATCTTTAAAAAATAAACTTCATTTTTTTTGGTTTGTAACTAACATAAAAAAAGTAAATAATTGTCAACTAAGTTTTATTAAAGCAAAAAACTATAGCAAGCCTTATTTTTTTGAAAATTAATTTAAATAAAATATAGTTAAATTCATAAAACAAATATTCAACACAACTAATGTTGACTGTAAGTCATGTCTGTCTCTCCTAATTTTTATTTAACTAAAGTTTTTCTTTTCTTTTCAAATACAACTTGAAATTTAAACAATAACTTTTCAAAACTAAATTCTCAATGTATCTTGCTTGTTTCTACTCTTTCAAAATAGTAATTAAATTCGTTTACAGAGAAATGTTTGCTAATGTAATGTTTAAAAGTAAAAACTTATTTACTTAAAAAAAATCTAAATTCCCCCCCCAAATAAATAGCAAATGATTATTTCTCGAAGTAAGGCTCACTAAAGTTTTTACTTGAAAAAAATGATTAAATTAAATGTTTAAATATATCTTAATTTAAGTTCATTTACTTTTTTATTAATAATAATTTGAAACTTTTATCTAACTTTGATTTGTTTGAAAACAATATTAACAGAGTATTTATGTTAGTAGTTAAATCGAAAAATAAAGTGTCTTTTTGAATAAAAATATGGGGATGCTTAGCCCCCCAAGACCCCCCTCCACCAGGCATGGTATTGGTAGTGTAGTATTTTCCTAAATTTAGTTATTTTGTAACAGACAAAAAAAAAAAAAAAACAATGAAGTTTGTTTTTTAAAGATGGAATAAAAAATTATTTTCCATAAGATGGCTGAAAAATCTCAATAAATTGTCAATAATAAACTATTATTCAGAGATCTTCTGATCAACACCGGGTATCTCCACCAGTCTCTCATAAATCTCATCCTTCTCAGATAAGGCGATGATCTTTGCTTCTAACTCCATGTTAGATGACAAAGGACATCCCCATTCCTAACTTCCCTCATCTCATAGAACATAATCACACTAATATTTTTATTACAGCCTGGAAAATCTCAAGTTTTTACCCTAAGAAGGCTACTGGTCCAGATATAATCCCAATGGCTGGTCTTAAGAATATTAATCCTGCATTATCCCTGATCTTAATGAAAATATTTAACTGCTACTTGAAGGAGAAACCCTTCCAAAGTCTGTGGAAGATGTCAAGTGTATGCACCATTTAAAAGAATGCAGGTGTGCGCTCATTCCCATCTCCGTTTCTGCCTGTCAGCTTCCTCAGTGTTATTAACAAACATTTTGGGGATATAATCAACAAGATTGTTGATCACCTCAATAGGGACAATCTTTTGAGTCACAAGCAGTACAGATTTTGATTGGCTTGGCCCACTGCTAATATCCTAACTGTCCTTACTCAAAGAATCAGTGAGGCACTAGATATCAAATACATTTCAAGGACGATCACAGATATTTTAAAGGCCTTTGACAAGGTGTGACATAGAGGATTATTCACAAGCTCTCTAGTTTTTCTTAATGGGTAGGTCCCTGAAGGTAATTGTTAACAGTCAATCCTCAGAAACCCAAGCGATCAATGCAGGTGTGCCCCAAGATTTTTTGGTGCAACCCTCTTTCTACTTCATGTAAATGATCTACCTAAGATTATACTCTGATCATTTGTAAATATCTATGCTGATTATACAATGGTATATGGGTGCACCTCCAAAATTCTAGGTGACCAGATCTTGATAGTGGATCTCTTTTCTGACCTAGTTCTAACAGCACAGTGGTGAAAAAACTGGCTGGTCACATTCAATGCTTTGAAAAACAAAGTAGTGATATTCCATAATCACTGAGCTGACCCTGAATTTTCACCTATTGTGATGAATGGATGTTCTCTCAGGGAGGCCCATGCCTTGAGTGCCTAGTGGAATTTGTATATACAATCCATCACTAAAAATGTTGGTAAAATGGTTGGTTCCTGTACTGCTCCAGGAAGTACCTGACTCCAAGTGTTATCCTCTACATTTACAAGAGCAAGTTTAGGCCAAAAATGGAGTACTGCTACCATATAAGGGCAGGAGCTGTCCACTTTTCACTTTCCAAACTTTCAGGCAAACTACATTCTTTAGTTCCTCCAGTTCTAAGGCAAAGACATGCCATGCCATGAACATTGTAGTGAACCACCCTCATTCTTTCCATATTCCATTAGTGAGATATAAATTCCACTCAAGCAGCTTCTTTCCATGAACTACTGCTTTGTGGAATTGACTTGCAAGAGAATGCTTCCCTGTTCATGTCTAGGGCTAACTGTTATCTTTTCAACAGATCCCATTTGATTGTGACAGTCCCTTGAGAATGTGCAATCTAATTTGGGCAACCAATTCCTCTGAATCCATTAAGTGATCTTCCCTACTGTTATTACAGTAAAACCTTAATTTAAGGAAGGTTAGAGTTAAGGAACCACTTGTGGACCACATGGGCCATAATGAACTGACATATTATTTATACTCAATGAAGTTAGACAAATGCTAGAAAAAAAAATCAATCATCAAGTTACTAGGAATATGTCAACCTTGTTAGCTATATATTAAAAATCTTGTTGATTTCAGTTATTTTTAAAAACTGTTTTCATTATAAATGACAAACCCTACTTTAGAACAGTATGTTTGTGTGTAGGTGAAAATGAGAGATGGGGACACACCCATGTCAATGTTTTAGGTTGTTTAATATGTAGCCAAAGTCACTTGCTAATTGTAAATGACTGATCTGAGTGACCCACAAGTAAGTGCACAGGATTTGCCTATTTATAAAATGATGGTTTTATCAGATTTAAGGAGCACACTACTTCCTAATTAGCTATTTAAATTGAGTTTCTACTGTAGTCAATAATATATCACTTAAAAACACAAGTTTTGTTAAATAGTTATTTGCATAAAGTAGTTATTCTTTAAAAGTTTCTAATTAGGTATGTTTTGATAAGTTTAACTGATTCTGATTAAAATCTATTAAAGAAAAGGAAAACTCAGCAGAAAATGTATTGTGTCAACTTACAATCCAAGCATAATGTAAACAGCATGATCTCGATTAAAATCAGGATCAGTTTTGAAAAGCTCAATTTAGTAATTACAAAACTAAGCATTAAACACAAAGATTAATTCACTCAATTTACAATTAACTTGTAATTACATTTCCTGGTTATCATCAGGTAATATAATCTATATATATTAACATCATCTGCTTTCATAGGCAAATTTAGAAAATAAATCCCAGTAGTATGCTTGTAATATTTCAAATTTTCATTTGGTTGTCTTTATTTTATTGATCATTTCTTTCCATGAATAAACTTTAAAATTTGAAAAATAGCAAAGAAGAAACCAAACATACAAACCTTTTAAAGTGAGAGAATCATTTACAATTCCATCAGAAATATTTCTTTTTACTATTGCTTTGACATCTTCTAAAGCCTGTGGATGTAGGGGAGCATTAAAACACTTCCTCTGGAAAAAAAAGAAAAGAAAAGGAAAATGGATTAAATGCTGAAGAAAAAAACTATAAAGCAATCTAGGTCAACTGAAAGAAGTAACTAGTCATTGGTAGTTACTTATGGTAGGGATATTTTGTCCAGTAAAATATTTTTTTTAATTTTATAATTAAAATTATTAATGAAATTTTAAAAATAAAAATACTGAAGACTAGGAAAGAAAAATTAAGTTAGAGTAATGCTTAAAAAGTTGATGCCATGAGTAAACAAAGCTGATATTATATATATGAAAGATATAAATAAGAAAATTATTTCTCCAGTGATAAATAAAATATTCTTGTGCAAGAAACTCAAAAACACTCCTTATTTGACAAGAAAGTGTTACAAGTATTTGCTGAACAAAGTCAAGATTATAGATAATAATAAACTTATAGCTGTTAAAATATTTGATAGAACAAATAAAAGTTAAAATATTTTAACTAAAAATAGCCCAAAAGAGGGTTTTTCAAGAAAGAGTATATAACAAGTAAAGAAATAAGATGAAATGTGGAAAGGTTTTTATATATACAAAATCTGATATACTAAAATAATATACAAGAGCTGTAAATAAACTGATCATGTAACATACAAAGTATATTTTACACAAGATGTAATTAAAAATCAATACCTTATTTACTTTTAGAGTATTGAAGTGACTGAGATTTCTTCTTCAGTCTTTGAAAGTCATATTTCAACAGATGGGTCTCCAAGGTACTTGTGTGAGCTATACTTGCAAGATGCTTCTCTGAAGCCAATGAAATATGAAAGTCTTTGTAATAATTCCACTGGATGCTCACTTTCAGTAAAGCATTCAAATAATAACACATCTCTGGAGTGCCTTACTGGATGCCTCACTACTGTGAACTTGTGTCAGACAAACAGCAATTTAGTAATTATAAAGTGTGAGTTCATTTTTACAATGTTGGTAACTGTTTCCAAGAATAATCTATTAAAATTTAATTGCAAATTATAAATTTTTTGAAAAATATTCAAAGTAGAGACCAAGGAAGAAAAAATATAATCATAATGCTTATTTGAAGGCTTTGTGGCCTAATTGGTACAAAAAGGCTCCAAAAGATAAGGGATTTTCACTAGAGAAATATTTTTTTTAATTTCATCCTGCTTGGCAATCATAGAATAATAATTAGCAACAGAAATAAGATGAAAGAAATACTAAGAAACAATTAATAAGCATCTCAAACAAATTTTCTATAAAACTTACCTGGAAAAGGTTAACTTCAAAATCATTTAGTAAGTTGTCATTGTCCATATCACAAATCTGAAAGCAAATTAACAATGAAACACAATATAGAAAATGGTGGTAAACAGGATTTTAATTATTTATTATAGAAAAAAAACAAGCTGAATTAGCCTTCTTGGATATACTAATAAACTGTATAGAAAGTAAATCCAAGACACCCATAAAAAATAGATATTCATTGAACTAAAATTATATATCCAACCACCTATACAGCATATATAAAAAAAAAAAAATTATTCAGTTTCTATAATCAAGCAAAGCATACACTAGCAAGAAATGACAAGACACAAGACACTGCTACTATCCTATGTAATATAATAAAAGCAACATCAGAAGAAGCAAGGACTTAGAAAACAACAAAAATCTGATTAAAGCTACACTACTATACAGTATAGTTGGAGAAGAAAAGATCCAGAAGATCTATAGGCCGCACAATATTAGGACAGTACTTAAAAATGATCCCATCTTACCTCAAAGTAAAGTAAAATATGCACTAGAAGAAAACAGCTGACCCTTAAAATAAATCTTAAAAAAAAACAATGAAAACTATTTCCATGGGTAACATTTTAAAAATCAGGTAAGGTTAGCCATGTATGGACAGAGATCAGGAACCATAAACTAGGAGAGAACAAACATTGATTGAAGTTTCAGAGTCATGACTCAGGAGCTTGAAATGCGGATAGAATTCAGTGGACTTACAGAAGTATCACAGGTAAGAAGAAAGACTGAGTGCAGGCATCTGATGTAATAAGATTGTGATAGAGTAGACAGGTTTACACATAGCAAAATTTTACACTTTCACAACAGATATCTGAGAAAGGTTGAAGGAAACATCTTGTGATAAAACAATAAGATGTGAAAGTTTTTCTAAACTTACATATACACAGTGATTAAAATGCTGTTTAATAGTCAAATTAGAACTAAGACGTTTTCATTTTTTTTCTTTAGTTTGTTCTAAATTGTAACTTGATAATAGCATTTTAAGATTTTATTAATATGTAATGTTCAGAAATTGGATAATTAAGCAAATAAACAAATCATTGGTATCTCATGTAACTCTTATTCAGATGTTTTAACAATTAATCACTATTTATTTTAAAAGAACCTAAACATTATATTGCCAAACTGAACTGAAAAGGCTGAAACTTTGAAAATAATTTAGCCCAACTAGTAATTAGTAATGCGTTATAAGCATTAACTTTCCTCAATTTGGACTCTTCCAGAGCTATCCACCTTTTGCTGTACTATACACACACACACACACACACACACACACATTCTTTAACTTGTATTCTTATTTGCACTTAGCCCCGTCATGGACTACTTTGTTTATTAAAGCCTTCATCAAGGTACTTCTTTAGTTTTGTTCCTTATTGCAATTTAATAAACAGAGTAGAGTGAAGGATGAACAAACATTTGAAACCCGAGAGATTATACTTCTCCCATCTGTGACTAAAATCTTCAATCATTGGTATTGGACCTTCACTTTCCTTCCTACGAAAAACTACAGATGATACTGTACATAATAAACAAGACAACTTGGATATCTCAATTAATACCATATCCGTGGACGTTTATGATCATAATGGATCATGGACAAAGAAAAGACAAAGATATTGATGAGTATGTTCAGTGTTTACATCTACTAGCTAAAGAATGCAGCTTCAAAGCAGTTAATGCTGCTCAAAGCCAAGGTGACTGTGTTAGAGATGTGTTCATTACCAGCTTGCTCTTTAATTCCATTTGACAGCATCTTTTAGAAAACAAAATCCTTGATCTACACACAATGGTTAATCAAGCCAGAGCTGTATACCTAGCACAGAAAAATGGAATCACATTCACATCTGCTCTTACCAAATGTGGGAGCCATAACATCAGAAAACAAAGATTCATTTGTTAGCGATGTGTGTGCCATAACAAGCCCTAAATGTTATTTTTGTGGTGGATCACATCACAGTTGGGATATGTTGACCAGATAAGTAGTGAGACCACCTTTTTCAGCTTTTATAATAGCTGAAGCCTCGTTTTCTACCAAAGTGTACTTTCATCATTCAGTTGGCATTAGTGATTGTGAGAAGAAAGCCACTGGGCAACTGGCCTGACCCAAAGCAGCAGCAATTCCCGTATCAGAAGCATCTGTCTCAATTACTAGGGGGATATTTTCTTCATCTTTGTCAATGTTATCACAATGTTTCAATTACTTGTTCAGTTTTCTTTTGGTCCAGGTAACCTTCAAGAAATTTAAAAAATTGAATGCTTTATTTAATATACAACAGAAATTTCAGGAGTTTTCCAAACATTATTCATATCTCCAGATGCTATAATGTTCACAAAAAAGGCCTGTAACCAAGAACATGTAAATAAATCAAAGTTCAGTTACCTGTACAATTTTTATGGAGAAGACCATATCAAATATGTGTGTAGTTCTCTTTGAAGTTATGTCAGATTCAAGATTCAAAGGGGTTTTCACTTAACATGTAAGCACTTCTTTACCTGTTGCAATGAAGTGAGAGGAGAGTGTATTCAAACTGTAATATGTATTTCTTTATACAATGAATAGTAAAAAGTGATAAAATATCCTAGGGAGGTTATAAAACCCATCTATTTCATAGTAAAATCTATTTGACTTCATGTCCATGTTGACAACCATCATACAGGTGAGATTGTGCTGAAAAACTATTGGTCTGACCAAGAGTGGGGGGTAAAAAAAGCAATAAACAGATGTTTAGTTGTCTGGTCAAATATTTGGAAATGGGTTGGCCTGAGAACACCTTGTACTTTAACTTTATGATACTACACCCATTTTTCTAACAAGAGAAGGGACCAGTGAAAAGATGGTGTTTGTTTTTATAATTGAAAGACCTGCAAAAAAAGTATTTTAAATACCCAGGCATGATACTTACCCGGAATAATCTTGTTAAACCTTTTTTACATGCTGCTGTGAGCTACAAATTATAAAGAAAGGAAAGGTAAAAGCAATATAATAGTACTGTCTATAACTTTAAGTAATTAAATATTTCAATAACTTTAGCATAGGTATCTTCACTAATTTTTGATAACTAAGGTTTAAAAAGAATTTTTATAAATGAAAAAGCTTTCTGAAGGCTTTCATTTTAGCTTTAATTGAAAGCTAAAAGAATAAATTTATTATTTTCAGTAAGCAAAATACTTTGGTGCATGTGCATTTCAAACAGAAATTATACGAATTTGAATTGTTAAAATTTTTTTCTAAAATAGCTGATTAGCATCCGTTTTTAGTCATCTTTCATTGCAATGTAATTCTCTGTACTAAAAAAAAATCTTCCAAAAATAAAATATAATTTTCTGAAACTTTATTTGAGGAATATTAGCTGAAATAAAGTATAATTAGTCTGATTTAAAAAAAAATTATTTAAGTTTAAAATACTACAGAAATGTATTTTTAAAACAACACAGTAACTGTTTTTAACTGACATCACCATATTTTACATAATTGACGAGGTGTTGACAGGTTGTTTTAATGATTGTTATTCTACAGAGACTTTATAATCATTCAACCTTAGTTGGGATCAAGCCAATACAAACGATCCTATCTTTAGCTGTATAGTAAGTGCTATGCCAGGGCTTACATACAGTTTTGAATTCAGAGTTACTTTCTCCTAGACTGGTTGCCACTCAAGGCTATAAAACTCAGTCTGTCCTGCTATTTACCCATAGCTAGGGAGAGAAGAAGAAGAGTCATACCTTTCCCAAGGGTATTAGCACATAAGTGGAGGTAATGGATCCGAATGGAATTTGAACTCAGTTTTCTGATTCCTTAATCCAAGCTGCTAGCCATTATTCCGTGTCTCATTTATCTGTAAAGTGCCTCTTTTGTATAAATTTTAAGTACTCAGTAATTTTAAAAATGTTGGAAAATATTCTCCGTAATCTAATTTTAGAAATGTCAACTTTAAATTTACTATAGTCATCACTCTTATTTTCTGATAATGTGTATGATCAACCATACTTTCAAAAATGTTACATAATATTTTATATACATAAAAAAAATTAAAAATTACTTTAAAAATCTTGATGCAAATTGATTTGTATTAAACTTTTCAATTTTTGATTAGTAAATATAGTTTTCACTTAATAATAATAATAATATCGCTTAACCAGATGAAAGTAATGTAGAATTTAAAGATTAATATATTACAAATTATTATAATTAAAAAACGAAATACAATTCTTGTAAAAATTCATTGTTCACTGAAAAAATTTTTTTTCTAAAGACAATAGTGTCATTAATAAATCTTGCTTATAAAAGCAATTAAAAGCTTTTCTAATTAAATAATGTCATAGTTTTATTGCATTTTTTTTATTTTACAGTTCAGAGCAGATTGGGAAATGAGCAGTATTGATGATTTACGTTTTCCAAGGAGTCCTGCTTTTAACTCGTAAAAAATTTGGATGCAAATTTAATTTTTCAAAATTTCATGAAATTAAGTAAGTGAGGGGTATCATAAATAAAAAAAAAAAAAAAAATTTCAATAATTTCATTCATTTGTGAATAAGTCCTGAAAGTTGTATTAAAATCCAACTAGTATTTGATTTTTGCAAGAATTTCCAAATAACGGTGGTTTTCACTGGTAGAATAGCACTAAAACACTAATTGTAAATATTACATCAATTACTGACAAAAAAAAAAAAAAAAAAAAAAAAAAGAAAGATTTTTTAACTAAAATTTCAAACATGCTAGAAAGAATTAAAAAATAATTTGGTCTTTCCCCTTAATAATAACAAACATTTTGATGATAAAACTTTGTTTAATTAAGTTTGGAGCCTCTTTTTTCATCATGCTATGCAGTTTTTTCAGCAAAAAAGTGGAGGTACCTACTTTAGTGCATAACCGTTTAACCATTTATTACCAAGGTGAAAATGTTAAAATACTACTTTTCTGAATGAAAAACAAATTTTCTAAAAAGAAATATAACAATGATCTATTCTAAAAGTTTGGATATAATTCATTATATCCAAACTTTTAGAATAGAGAATGAGAGTTACACAGAAATGTATCATCTGGATTTTTCAGCTGTCTGGAATTCACATCACCCAAGTATACTTTTGCAACTGTTGCCTAAGAAAAATCTAGCACATTTGTCACTTTGGAAATATTTTACATTTCAATTCCCAAAATATTTTATCATATTTGATATACTCAAAAACATTAGCCATGTAAATGGAAACCATTAATACTGCATCACTTTGACACTGAAACTGATTATTATAAATGAATTTACATTTTTTTTTCATGAAGAATCATAGCATTTCTTCATATTTACTCATAAAAACATTTATCAGTAATCCTTGTCATTTCTTAGTTACTAAAACAATTTTAAACACAGAACATTCAGATCTTTGGTAACCTGAGATCATGAAGAGTCAAAGAAAACCTCATTTGATTGTCTTTGTGACTATTATGTAACATTAAACATTTCAAATCATTCAAAACAGAATACTTCATTTTCAATGAATACAACAGTTGAATTAGTATCACAGTAAGATATATGTATAATTTCCTCAAACGACTTATCAGTTGTCAGGTATGTATTCACCCTAAGAAAAAAGTCTAATTGTGAATAATTAGATATGTACCTCTTCATTCTAATGAGATGGTTAACTTGGATAGTGTGGCTATTTGACCAATGTTTGCATAGATGAGGTCCTATCAATGCTTTAGGATAAACTGAGCTGCAACTATCAGCATCCCAATAAACAACAGAGATATTAACTTTCTGTTTACAAACACTTCCATGTTTGTATATGGAATATTTTGAAGAAAAATGTTTAAGAACTATACTGTTGAAAACAACCATCTGAATGAATGAGATATGTGGGTGACACCACTATTTTCTGGTCTAAGAAGAAAGATGTATGATGTGAACTGAATAAGACTTTTAATACAGTTCACAATGGAATCATATGTACTGACAACTTACACAGGGGTTCAAGATATTTGTATACCCCCAAGCCAAAAATCACTAAACAATATCTGAATTTCAATTCCCCCAAATTATAGCATCTACAACCATAAGCCTAACCAATAACTAATGATCAAGACACCCAAAAGAAATGATCAGTATTAGGAACAACTATCCTGCAAGACCAACATTGGCTTCAATGAACAGAGATATAAGGGTGGATGACAATAGTTTAAAATACTACTAGAGTCTATCACTATCAGAGTTATGTGGCCAGAATCAAGATGAGAACATAAATTAAGAAGTGCGTATAGCATTCCATTTGGCTTTGGAAACCAGTTGCTTGCTACAAGGTAGGAAAAAACATTGGAAAACTCCAGACCATGGGGAGATTATAGAACAAAGAATAATAGAGAGCAACATCAGTCAGATAAGAAAAAAAAATGTACATAATTGGCTTTGAAGTATTTCAATTTCTATACAATACTATACAAGTGATCAGACATTAGATTTAAGACTACCATGTTACACCATCTGATTGGTTAAGTGTATGCAGTTTACCTGGTGGTTATGAATTCAATCTCTGAGCCAAGCAATAAAATCTGTATGCTCTATTCCAATCAAATAAGCAGAAGCAGCATCAAGAACAAGTTAATGATTATATACTTTATATGACTACAGACACCTGAGGAAGGCTGGAGGATTCCAGCCTTCCTCAGGTGTCTGTAGTCATATTTGGTAACCTTCTCTGAATTTTCAACAAAACCATTTATTCAACCCAGAGATTATTCTCATTTCATATGAGTTAATAGTCATTGGTATTATTCACTTTTGTACTGCTTGTATGTTTCTTTCACTGAACCAAATAAGTGACTATCAAACCTAGGAAATGAACTCACAAGTGTCAGGGAACCAGAAATGTTTTAACCAATGTTTTAATTTCTTGGGCAATCCAGTGGTAAAAAATGTCTACATGCAGATATTGTTACTGTTTGAGTGCCCTTTCCCAGGTAGTAGAACAATTTGCGTTCTTTCTTTCAGAGGCTCAAAAATGGTATTTGTTTATATGCTAGCTAGGTCTACTGATGAGGTTGTGAGTTGTCCACCACCCATCCTAAGTGAGATACTTTGGGTGTGGAAATCAAGATCTATTTCAGAGTTGCCTTATTTTTCACCAAACGACCATTGAAATTAAGTCAGATTGCTCTGTCCATAAAAAAGTGTCAAATATAAAGATCAGAAAGAAGCATTTGAAAAGTGCTTAGTAAGTAACTTAGAAAGCCTTGTGCCATCTTTGTTGTTTGGAAATGCTTAACTCTGTTATTTTTTTTTGTTGGTTTTGTTTTCAATTTTCCTTCCTTCTCTGTCATTATTTAAATTACTTTTCTCTCTTTCCACTCATTATTAATGTTTCTGTTTCTAATTCTTCCACAACCTGTAATCCCTTGTGTTTTAGTGGCTTTACTGCTTTGCATGAGGTGATACTGATTAAAAAAAAAAATGCATCTCCTAGGCAAACTGTAGATGATTTTTTTTGTCCTTGCTTATGTTTGTAGGGTAGTTGTTATCTTGAAGGGTATTTCTAATGTCAATCATCTGTTGCATTTGTCTTCATTGTCAATTATGAGTTTATCTCAATGTTGTAGACAGCAGGTTTCCTTTATTGATACTGTATAGATGGTGGGAATTGAATTTCAGGTATTGTTTGGTGAATATTTGCTGATGATATACAGATATCTTTAATCCAGAGCTGAATATCATCCGGAGCCTCTAATTAAGAAAGAAATGACACTCACACAGTTCCATCACCCGAGTACAGACATTGAGTTTAAGGCTCCAATATTTTACCTAGTAGATTAAACTGTTAATTAAAACACATCTGGTTCACAGGCATTTGTTCTGGTAGTGATGAAAACAGTGGAAGAAACAGATAAACACAAATGTGCCTATTAACTGATATGAACTATCAATAGTCTCAAAGGTAGACTGTTCTCATTGCACATAGAAAACAAAATATAAACAATTTACCTCCATGGATTGAATAAAGATTTTGGTTCAAAATTCTAAGAAGGTTACTGAATACGATGCCAGACCCTTGAATAAAGCCAGAGAGTGTAATGGCTGAAGCTTTGTTAGCATAATAAGCAAGATGAGCATACTGGTACTCCAAATAAAGTATAAATAATAATTCATCCCAAAATTTCTGACTATGTTTATGGACAGTGGAATGAGAAAGGTTTACTCGCTGTAGTTTAATTTGAAAATTCTGAGGACAATACTAAATATGACCGGCACCTGAAGAAAGCCAGAGAGTAGTACAGCCAAAACACTGTAACTATACCAAAAAACATGAGAACATCAGTTTGAATAAATCAATGCAGCTGTTTCTTGGACTTTATTGATAGTAACAATTGAGGAATACATACATTATCAAAATGTTTGTGTGATGAGCATATTAATAATTGCATCAAAATAAGAACTACTTCCCAGTTGCAAAATTAAAAACAAAGACTCACCTCTTTTTCCTCAGCATTATACACAGGAGCAGTAGGATGAAGCACAGCCTTTTGAGCATAGTAGAAAAGCTCACTAATATTTTTCATAGTTTTAGCAGAGCACTAGAATAAAAGAGTAAACAATTAAGTCACTTTTCTGGAGACAAATCAATTAAGAACATTTCAACTTGATTGAAAAGAAAATAGTTCAGAAGTTATGACAAATTGAAATTTGTTTAAATTTACATTTGAGTTACAAGCATGATTTTACTAATTTTTGGTATTTAAAAAAATATCAAGTCAAAAAATTGAGCATTCCTATAGTTTTCTATTCAAAAATTCATTTATGGATTCATTTTACATATAAATGATTTGGAAATTATGAGTCCTTCAGAATAAAAAAACAAAAAACAGTGTGTGTGTGTTGGGGGGGAAGGATTTACAAGCCATTTTCTGCCCTAATTAACCACTGATTGGAGGTCCTTTTCAAGAGTAGTGACCAGGTTAACTTTGTCAGCTCTGACTGATTTGCTATTGGGACAGGAATAAATGGTAATGTCATTTGCATAAATATCTACTTGGGAACTGATGACATCAGGAAGATTATTGAAGAAGATTAGAAATTGCATAGGACCCAGGATAGAGCCTTGGGAAACACCTGCACTCATGTGAAAGGATATAGAAGCAAGCCCGTTCAATACGAACTTCATTTCATGATTTGATAGGAACAGCTGGATTAAATCAAACAATTGTCTTGTAATACCAAAGCCCTGAAACATGTAGAAGACCAGCATGCCAAATGCCTTTGAGATATATATAGAACCACAGCTTGAGCGTCACTGTAATTATTAAGAGCTTTATATACATATTCAATGATGGCTGTTACCAAGTCAATAGTAGCCCTAGCAAAACAGAAGCCATATTGTTTGTCAGGGAGTTGGCTGTGAGAGATAAGATGCTTAACCACTTTAGCATTGATTAAAGCCTCAAATGCTTTGCCAAAAAGTGATAGGAGACTAATAGGGCGATAGAAGGTTCAGATGGTTCTCCAGATTTCTTAAAAACAGGAACTACAGAGGAGGACTTCCAACAAGCTAGGAAGCAGCAAGGCAATAGTTGTATAGTTTGGAGAGAACTGGAGTCAGCTTTGGAGCAAATTTCTTTAGGATGCTGACTAGGAACCTTATGGGAAATGATGTCTAAGTATAGTGACAAGATTATGCACATATCACTCAGTAAAACCTCTGTTCTAGTGGGGGAAATGAGGTGTGGGTACAATGAATGAGTAGAGTGTTGGAAGAGAATTTCCAAACAAAGCATTCAACCTTATCTGCTGCAGATGTCAGGACTTTGATTTACTGTTGTTCAGCACACTCTTGCAGAGCCACCAATAATTAGCTTCTTGCATTCCTATTTTAGGCTTTGTTCTTTCCTCTCCTTGTTAGCCTAAATAGACAAACCTTTCACTTTCTTCAACCCCATACTACAAGGTATGTTAAAAGAGGAAAGATCTCACTTATTAGCATTTTTACATACATTTGTTGCCTTTTATAAAAAGATTTTGAAGTAGATTTTGAAAGATATGAGCAAGATTATGAAGTTTTGAATAAAGGAAGCATGGATATGTTGGCAGTTAATGCAAAGCCAATAAATTTCTTTTTCATGATGGTTCATTTTTCGCAAAAGTTGAAGGAAAAATAACAAAAATTACCTCAATACAAGTTTCTATTTCAGCAAAATCATTCATAATAGGTAATATGCCCTGGAAAAAATTAATTTTGGGGCATGATTAAAATAGCCATTTTTCACAAAGATAACATTAAGCAGTAGTAGTAGAAACAGTAGCAGAAAACTAAGAATCTAGTAATCATGACAAGAATTATTAACACTTCAATATTTAATTTGCATAATATACAGTAGATCTTAATCTTTCAAAGTATGCCATTATTTTGATAGACTAAAATTGAAACCAGATATGAAGTCTTACATTAATTCAGAACAGATTTTATTATCAGGAATATTCTTTCCAAAATGTTAAGTTCTTATGTTATGAGAAATAAAAAGGTCAATACTTTTTTTTTCTTATGCCTATTTCAAATGTTTAACAATTCTTGTATGTAATGTTTCCAGATATGTGGAGAATATACATCATTGTAACAAATACAAATTAAAAATATATGAAATCTTTAAATTAAAATGCTACTTTTCAAAAACAATATTCTGAAATGTTCATATGTAATGTTTATGGGTATATTTAAAATAAATCAAATTACTCACTTCCATATTGGTGTATTCCATAAGATCTGCTTTGTTCCCAACCAAAATAATTGGTGTCTTATGATTATCTCCCAGTGTTCTTCTAATGTATGGCAACCAGTGGCTTGTTATCTGATGGGGGAAAAGTCACAGTGAATATACAAGTAAGGTTCTTCAAGCATTTGTTTTTTTAAAAATCTGAATTCAACATTTCTTAGTGTTTCTTTTAGAGAAAAACTTTTAGTATTGTAGCTGGGTAAGGTCTCCATTTTTTCATATTATTAAAATGAAGTAATTAAAGTAGGTGAAAAAAAGCCATTAAGAAAGATTACATTGAGCAGAGACCAATTATAAAAAGAACCAATTAAGAATTTTAATTAGATTCTATAAGTGAATGGGTCAAACAAAATCAGCAAAGACTGAACACTGGTTTAACTTAGTAAATTCAGTATACTTAAATTCATCCAATCCCCCTTCAGCCTGCTTAGCAAGGGTTGATATGATTAATGATTTCTTGGATAAAATTGAATAAACCAGTTAATATAATGAAGACGTTTTCCTTTTGTACTGTTTAGCTAATCCTACATGAAATTACAGAAACATTCAAATCCAGAGTCTTGAGCCACATTAGCATTAGGAGCATCTGGTTTTCAGACAATTGAAGATTAATGGAGACTTCATAACTTCATAAGATTTATCACACATCAATTTCAAGAAAAATGCAAATTGTCTATTTAAGGGATATGCAAGATGATAAAGGTTAGGCTAGCCAACTACTGTAAGGGACACTTCATTAGATATACTAAAAATGAGCACCTAACATATAATTACTAAACTGTAGAATCATATCAGCATAAGATAATGCTACAAGACTTAGCCACTTTGACATGTTAGCTATTCATATGCTTGCAAGAAAAAAAAATTTTGTGTCTTTAATTGTGCACAGAAACCAAAGATATTACATTTCAGTTTAAAAAAAAAAAATAGCTGTAGATATGCCTCAAATCCAAGGACACACAATGTATTAAATGGTCTGCCAAATTGAGAGCAGTTGATACTGCAAAAACCACACCTATCAATCACAGACAGGGTAATCGATAGTTGAATAGAACTTTTTATCACTCTCGTTCTTGCACTAACATACTCACACTAAAAAAAGTTAGTTAAAGTGAACTTGAAGTATTTTTCATCAATTAAAAAAACAAATAACCTTGTAATAATTGTATGAAAATATGTAAATATTTTCCTTACAGGTTAAATGAGACAATGCCAATTCATATGTAAATTCATCCAGTATGGTCTTTATATACAATTTACACGTTCTGGTGCCATATATTTTGCATATATATACATTCTCCATTCCACATATATATATATATATATATATATATATATATATATACATATATATATATATATATATATATATATATATATATATATATATATATACATACACATATATATATATATATATATATATACACACACACATATATATATATATATATATATACACATACACACATATATATATATATGTATATAAACACACATATACACACACACATATATATTTATGTATATATATACACATATACACACACACATATATATTTATGTATATATACACACATATACACACACACATATATATATATATACACACATATATATATATATATATACACATATATACACA